TAACTTAATTATTGTCTAATTGTTTCATTTTATTTTTTCTTTTCAGCTCAACTGAATTTATTTATTTATTTTTTACCTTCTTTGTATTGTTTTTCTTACAGGGGGGTAACAACAAAACAACAACAACAACAAAGATACATACAACAGGTAGGATAACAAACATGTTGGATCTCCTTGTTTCTACAGTTTGATCATTTCTCATCATCAGTGTGTCTTTATCCTGTTGGGTTTATGTACTCAGTCCATTTCTCCCACTTTGTATGGTATTGATCTTCCTGAGTCTTTATTCTGTAGCTCAGTTGTTCCATAGTTTGTATTTCATCTATAATTTTGATCCCTTCGTCCTGTGATGGTGGCTCCATCTTCTTCCATTTTCTTGTTATTTTACAGGCAAAAAACAACCAAATTCAGCTCAACTGACTTTAGTTGTTTTCACTGACAAACTGCATCAGTGTTACTGATCTGAAATCACACAAAGAACTTAAGATCCTGGAAGTATTTTTACTGTAAAAACACAGACATGTTGAGTAAATTTGTAAAATCAGCGAGCTGTCGGCTTTCAGCCCCGAGCGTGTCCGTCGGGTGAGAAAGTCACATCTCACTGATTCTGATGCGTCGGCGCTTTGTGTTCACGTCTCTGTGCAGAATCGTGTTCCTGCTCTCATTTACTGTTTTACTGTTTGGTGGTTGTTGAAATGTTGAGGTTTCACCTGAGATTCTGGAATTTTTGGCAAAATACATTTATGTAAAAAATCGATTCAGGATTTTAATGATTAATGAGGTTATCCAAGCCAGAATCGATTTTAATCGATTATTAAAACCCACCCCTAGCTAGTACCTCTTGCCACGAGTTCCCAGAATCCTTTGCGGTTTTACCCCTGAATGACATCACATTTTCAATCTCTGCAGGCGGCGTCAGACACAAACTGCACCTCCAATCAGCTCGGTGAAGCCTCCATCAGCATCCAGATGTGCCTGCAGCGCTGCTCGGGGTCGGTGACGTCATCCCAGGGTTGAACATATGAGTTTCTTTAATGGCTTGGACTCTATTCTTCTCTGCTACTGTAATATATAATCCCGATTAACGCTCTACGTCTCTGTTCCTCAGTCGGTTTCTTTCTGGTCTGTTTGTCGAGGACGCAGACTGGATAAAGGTAACAAAGTGAAGAGACTTTATCTGGAAACATCCACCTTTACTCAGCTGTTGAATCATGTCGCTACGTTCGTCTCTAACAGCATCTTATCAAAAACTTTTCTACCAAAACGTAACGTTGGTTTAGACTTTAGTGAGACTCTCATTAATCAAACTCCACATCCGTAAATGTGACTTCTCCTCTCAGGACAGAATCGCAACAATTTGTTCCTCACAACAAGAAAGCTTTAAACCATTAATAATCTCGCCGTGTCGCCTTTCCCTGTTTTAATCTGTATTTCCGTCCTGTTTCATTGTACACACTCTGCCACTGTATCAGGATTTTGCACTACAATTGTACATCGTGCCGTTTTCTGCCTTTTGTTAAAGATTCTGTTGAAATAAAGTTTCTTTCATGAGCGACACATCCCGACCTTTCAAAATAAAGTCTAGAACGATCAAACTCTTAGAAATGAGACAAAAACGGATTAAAATGAGGTTCAATATTTTTATTCCTCGCGGTGACCGCGTCCTCCTGGAACAGCTGGCTCCGCCTCTGGCCACACGTGAAAAATGTTTTCGTCCGCCTAACAGTTTTGATATTGTCGCACACTGATGACATCATCAATGAACCAGATCAGTGTATTGAGACACACCTGTGGTCCTTGTACAGAGTCAGAGAGAATCACGTCAAACACGACTGACGTGAATGTGTCACTTCCTGGTTGTGACAGGAAGCCGCTGCTGGAGGAAGTGACACGGAGGCAGTGAAGAGGCACACACCCTCGTATTTTAGAAAATAATTTAATAACAGGTGAATGTAAAAAACATCAGTGGCAGGACGCGCGTCTCCTCTGCTGCTAATACTCTTTAATCAGCTGATTGACAAAACAAAAGCACATTGCACATGAGTCTCAGAGGGGCGTGGCCAACAGCGGCGGTGGTCGGTCCAGTCTCTGCATCCACTCCCTTCCTCGCCGCGTCGCCTCAGCAACACTCAGTTTGTTTAACTAAAGAGTCCACAGACAGGCGACGGCGGCGTCCTCTTGACACACACACACAGGCGCCAAACACACCCTCAGCACCCCCCTCCCCCCGCCAGGTAAATGAGATATAAAAGGGAGGGAAATGACTCCAACTGAAAAGTGAGGAACTAAAGAAAGGTGATGAAGAGTGAGGGCGGCACTCAGCTCTCGATACTTACACTCACACCGACGCGCTCCCGGAGGGGGCGTGGCTTCAGCGGCCGGGGAGGGGGACGTCTGGCTTACCTCGTCTGCTCTCACTCAGTCACCTACAGCCTCTCATTATTGATCTATTATTGATCAGTCTGATCAGCCGTCCTCGCCGAGCGATGGGCCGACGCCCCCGCTCACGCTCACCCCCGCCCGCTGACAGCAGTCCCACAGCCGCCGAAGGCGCTCCGAGGCCCCGCCGTCCGCTGCCTCCAGCAGCAGACGCTACAAGGGTGTGGGGGGGACAAAGGGAGGGGTAAACAAAGGTTGGGGAGGGGTAAACAAAGGTTGGGGGAGGGGGGCATGCGGGAGGGGGACGGGGACGGAGGGCAGGTGAACATGCTGTATACAGGTGAGTCAAACTGTTTATAGTCACATGGTCATAGAATACGAGGCAGTACAAGCCAATCAGGATGGGCCGACGCCCTATCTGAACAGCTGATCTCAGATCTACTGCAG